ATAAAAATTAAAAGTTGAAAATAAGGGCCATGCTGCATACACAGTGACTCCATATTTCCTGACTATATTTTATAAATTTTAATACTTCACTATTTTAAAAGTGTATATTTCACATTCTTAATTATTCCTCTGAAGCAGGGATCTTTGCTTTGGCACTTTGGATCACATCAGTCCCTGCTGTCACGGGTTGTTCTATGTATTATGGAACATTCTGTAGCATCTCTGGGGTCCACACACTAAATGCCCACAATACTGCCTCACCCCCTTCTGGTCATGATAACCAAATACTGTGTGTCCAGATATTACCAAATGTATCTGGGGGTAAAAATATCCCCTGTTGAGAATTAGCTCTACAGCCTAATGTGCTCCTGAAGCAATTACATCCTCTGCATGTTTTTAATTCACTTATATTGAGTTCAGTGAAGAGATAGCAGGAATAGCCCTGTGATTTCACAACAAAGACAATGATATTTTCTGTGCATTTACAAGAAGAATAACACTTAAACAAACAAAAAAAAGGATCATGGGCCAATTCTGATTGAAGTTTCATGTAGAAATGGGAAGCTCATTGGATTGCATAGGTCATACACTGCATGCTACAATTCTTAGTAATCAGGGTAGGACCTTACGATATGGTTTCCTTTCTTTCCCCTTCTTACAGATATAATGATCCATTTCGAGAAAAGTATGAGCGCTAACCCTACCTACCTCTAAGAAAAAATGATAATTAAATCAGGGCTATGTAGCCATTTGGGGAGAACACTGCTTGAGTTTGTAATCTGAATCTAAAGGATGGCATTGTGATGCAGAAGATCCTAAGGGAATACTTTTGTGAATTGTCTCTAAAAATAGCTTTTTAACCTAATTTCATCAGTAATAATAACCAGGTTCGGTGGTCAGTTAGATCCCTGTCTTTCCTCAGGAGCAAAAGGCTAAAGACAAAATGACCACAATATCTCATGTAGTTTGTTTCACTGTATCTTCACTGCCACTCAGGTCCTGCTGATTAGTATGCACAGGGAAGATCAATTACAAAGGCCTGTGCTTATTGGCTTTCCATAGGGTCAAGAAAAAACACCACAGCCACTTTTAAGGCTGGACCAGTGACCAACACATAAACTTTTATTTTACAGGAGCACAATTTTATCCATGGTATAGGGTTTCAAACACCCCAGTTTGCCCAGCACTTTCTTGGCTTTACCAGTGAAAAATTCTCGCATCTTGAGAAATCCCTAGGTCTTGGGTAAACCTAGATAGTTGGTCATCTTACCTGAGGAATTATTAGTTTTTTGACAGAGGTTTATTGAAGTGAACTTTTAAAGTATTTTCCAAGCATTGGAAAGATGAGGGAAAGAGTAGTCCCTAAATCTGGAAAAAAAAAAATCCATGTAACAATCAAGTAGCTCATGGCATACAGAATGTGCATTTAAGGAGTCTATACGACCAGCAGTTATTTGCTGCTGCAGTTGTGAAGACAAGCATTACGAAGGGCAAGAAAACAGTCTGTCTCAGAGTGCTTCACTGAAGCAAGGACACGCATCCAACTTGAAAGGAAATAAAGGACACGCTTTGTCTATGGGGGGATCCTGCCGCTATTCCCCTGTAAATGTAATTCAAACAGGTACTGAGATCTGAAGCATAGAGATAGCCACAAATTAGAAGACCCTCGGTTTTTAAAAAGGAAAGAAAAGAAATCCATGCCACAGAGAGAACTATCTCAAAGCAGCAATAAGGGTTTTTCTGATGTTACTCTGTGGCTGCGAACACGTTCTGAAAGTCTATATTGTGAATGAAGTTTCTTGAGACCTTTACAGAAAATGTGCACGTTATAAATTTTCAAACTTAAAAAATTACCATCAGGTGCCAACTCCACCTTTACAAAATCTATGTGTGTAAAATGTGCAAGTCCATGCGATTCTAATACTTTGCTTTTACAACTGGTATGTAAATATTTCATTCAACGAGTGTATCAGTGATACCTGAAGAAAATCCAGTGGTGTTTACGGTTTATCATTCAAAACTATACCTCTTTAGAATACTACCATCTTAAAAGGATATATTAAAAGAAATGGCATTTTATTTATCTCAAGCAATGTATGAATCTTCTTGACTCCTAAAACTGATTAGGAACCACTGAATATTTATTGTATGTTCCTTATAACATGTTATTTATAGGTTATACTTGAGTATCACATTACATGAGAAAGATTTCTGTGAGAAATCTTTTTATTTCACCTATTAGGGTACCAAACAATCTATAAGCAAAAGTCCCCAAAGAGAGTGCTGTACAGCAACTTGATGCTGTAATGACATATAGACATTTGTCACCACAGATCATGATAAAAGTGAGGAAAATCACCCTATAAACTTTCAATTGCCAGCTTTAACTAAGCAAGCTGTTTTGTCACTATAATTGCTATAATTTAACATATCCATTATTAAGAGGCATGAATAACAAAAAAAAAAAGGAATGAACAAATTGAGTAAAAAATACTGAAGCCCCCTGATATTAAGGGAATTCTGAGTCACAACTGAAGATCAAATGAATACTGTTTTTTCAACTTTGAAGAGCTATTTCCACCTGTCTAAAGATATAGATATACATCTTGAAATTAGCAAAATAAACTATATTCTGACACTTTCCTTTGAAGATTGCATTTTAAATGTAAAGGCCTCAAAATAAAACCTTTGAATTTAAGGTAGTATTACAATTCCTTTTTAGTTATGGAACTGAAGAATTCTCATGTATAGCCCCCTATCTTATTTTGGTTCCTACAGGTTAATCTTGCAAAACTTTGAGATTAGTATATCTTATAAAGTGTTTGATGACAATATCACTAATATCAACCTCTACACATATGTAATAACCATATTTTGTTTTTAATCTCTCAGATGCCAGTTACATAGAATATTATAATGAGAAATGTATGGAGGGTATTCAAGGTCATATTACTGGTTTCAATTAATTGCACACAAATTACGTAAAATGTGGCCAATAGTTAACAGATGAATTAAAAAGCAGTAAAAGCAAAAGTAGCTGCAGTTTAACACTAGCACACCCACACTAAGCTGTATTAAAAAAAATGTACCGGGCTGGGGATACAGCTCAATGGGGCAGCACCTGCCTGGCCTGTGCAAGGTCCTGAGTTCGATTCCTGATACAAAAAATAAATGTACCAAGATTGAAACAAAATTCAGGTAAAGTGCTCTGAAGCCATGCAAGTCTTGAAATGATTTGTGATATAGTCCCATTTTTTTCTTAATTGGCCATCAATTCTTCACTGTCGTCTTTTTTTCCTAATTAAATGCTGGATTTTAGGAATAATGCAACTATAATGGAAAGCTTCAGAACTCTCAGTGAAGACAAAAGGCCCAGGACTGTAAACTCAGACTGACCAGTGACCACTGCAGGATAAGCTGAAAACTCCAGTCCAGACTTTTTTCCTATGCTTGACACTGATAGCTCCCACAGGAAAAGTATGACTTTCCCTCCACAAAGTTAAGTAAAAAAAAAAAATTGTTAAGCGTTTTCACACTACACATACATTTACTCCAAAAGCTAAATCAAGTATACTATGAGGAGGAGAAACTAACTCCTATTGATATTTGGTTTAAAAAAAAAAAAACACCCAAAAAGCAGGCAACTCAAACAACCCCAAGATAGGGTCTGTTATGGAAATTTCATGCTAATGGCACAGCCTCCCCAGTAGCTTTATGGTTTTCCAGTCAGTCCTATTTTGCCATCAGTTTTGAAAGAAACAAAAAATACTTCTGTTTTCTATATGTCACCTAATTTAAATTATTTTCTAAAAACAAAGCCTGCTGGTAACTTTAAAATGTCTTCTGAAACTACTTAAATCCAGCGTGTAAAACCTTTCCTCATCGTATTGATAGTTAAATCATGTTAAGGACGCTCACAATAAGACTGCTTTAACATTGTTTCCTTAGATAGAGACCTGGTAAAAATACACGTTTCAATTTGGCCAAAGAATTGTGTGTGTGTATACAGTAAAACTGTTTCAGATGTCTACTGTTATGTTAATGTAAAAAAGAACAAAAGTGTACCTTGCTATATTGAGAATTGAATGTTATATTTTCAATTAAATCTTTTCATTTGTTTTAAAATAAGTGATGCTGATGACTTCTAAGACTTTTGCCTTATAACCATGAAAGTAACTATTGTTATACCAGTGATCTTCATTTCAGCTTCTTGTCCTTTTATCAAAAAATACTTTCAAGGGAAAATGTAATAAAGATATTCTTAATCTAAAGATATTGAAGTTTTCCATTTGGAATTCTTCCATTTCTAGTAATACTATTCCCATACTATGAAATGTATCGATATATTATGCATTTCTATTTTTAAAATGTGTGCACACTTAGGTGCATATGTATATTTAGATATATGCACACACATCCATAAATTCTGAGTAGACTAAGTAGAAAATTCCTCTAAAAAAGGTTCCCTGAACAATATAAAAATGCAATCATTAGAAGCAAACAACACAAAATAGACTGATAAGCCCAACTGTTGTTTTAAAATGCTTACAAACAAACAGTTATCATTTATTGATCACCTATTTATGGTTTGAGAAAATCCAAGATTATGGGAGATAAGAGAATACCTCCTAAAAATCATGACAAAGGTAATGATTTAAAAATAAACTTCCATATTATAAAAAGTCATGTAAATTTACTCTTTGAAAGAAAAAAAACTTTAATATTAAAATTAGTTATCCTTTAATAATCTTCTTCAAATAAAGAAATAATTTGTAGGTTTCTGTTTTCTACTGTCACAAAAACAGATCTCTCCTTGGCAGTCCACAAATGTTCATTGCAAACAGTATGATGCTTCAGAAAGCATGGACTGAATGTTTAAGCATAGAATTTTTCATTGAATTGCTAAATTTTTATACTGTAGGACTGGCTATGAGCCACTACAAAATGCAAAGACAGTTCAGACAGCTCAAGCTCTGTTATTTTCAGACACAAAAACCATATAATTTTGTACAAAACTTTGACTTTTTATTTGCGAAATTAAAAATATGGCATTTTATATATATATAAACTTCTATTCCTCTATAAATATAGATGATCTTGTGATAGTGAACAGAATAAATGCATACCAAATTCAAAGACCAATGCCATTTGAGGGCATGACAGATATAGATAAATTTAGATCCTAAGTACCGGTATTTTGATAAACTCTTAAAAGTTTAAAACAATACAATCAGGAGCACTGTTCTTCTCCTTTTCACAGAGAACTAAAGTGAATATTTTTAAATGGCTTCGAAGATTGACAGTTGACAGACTTTTTGTAAATCCAGAAAAGAGTACACAGGGTTTCATGGAATAGACTGCACGGTTTCCCTTTAGCATGCAGGCGGCTGTTCTGCTTGCTTCACTCAGGAACTAACCTCATTGATTATTCTATTTCCTCTGCCTCCTGAAATCCTACTACCTTATTATTAGTGGTGGGGATTGTTGTTCCTCCCGCAGGATGTGTTGCTGAATAATAATCATAATAATATGTGGAAAGTGTACAACTTTTACACTGTAAAGTTTCTGATATATGTCTAATTCTCATTTGATTAAAAATAAGAAAATAGCACTTCATTTTGAAGACTCCCATCACACTGAAATCTCCTTCAAGTTTTCATCCTGTTTATGTTCCGCTGTCCTGCTAAGGAAAGCAGCGATCAATCCCTTCACAAAGCTTCCCAGGTGACCTCTAGTTTCCAATTTCCAGAAGGGGAAAAAATCTCAACTCGGGCTGTCTCCCTCTTCGAGGCAGATTGCCAGGCATCAGTATGCAATTAGAATTAACATTTTATAACCCCTCTGCAGTCTCTCCCGTCCCACACCACGCTTCAGGCCTCTTCCCATTCAGTAACCATATCTTTCCATGACGCGGGCCAAACCACACCAGGTTTTAGACACTAGAGAATGAAATGAGCTCATCCATCAAAAATTAGACTTAAAAAAGTTTGGCATTCGTTAGTCCTCTCTGCCTCTAGCCAGCTTAGGTGGACCAGGGAGTGTCTGAGCCTTGGAGGAGAGTGGGGGAGGGTGGGAATGCAAGCAAGGCCCCTCTGAGGTCGGGGGAAGGGTCTCCAAATTCAGCTTAGGGAAGTCAAAGGGACAGGCCCTCGCCCCTGAACAAACCCGCCCCTAAACAAGGAAGGACCTGGAACGGGTGAAGGTCCACCTCCGGATTTGGAGTATGGAGCTCTGTACCTTAGGATTCCCCGTCCCAGGAAAGGAAGGAAGGGCAGGGCAGACGGAGAGGTGGGAAGGGACCCCAGCAGAGCCATGGCACGCCGCGGGGTGGGCTGGGGGCCCTGCACCTCCGCAGACAGGGCGGGGCAGGGCGCACAAGGAAGAGCAGGGGTAGTATGCGGTGCTGCGGTTTTATCTTCTCTGTAGTCCTCCGAGAAGGGCAAGAGAGAAAAGTCTCAAATGGTTAAACCACCCTAAATAATTAAAATCTTAAAAACAAAAAAGAAAAAGAAAAAGAAAAACGCGTGATCGGTAGTCTTTAAATACAAATATACTTACAAAAATCTTACACAGGCTATTTACAATCATAAAAGCGTACAGTCCTGGTACCAGAACGTGAGGGCAAGAGCAGCGGTCCGGTCCACACCCCTCTGGCAGTGGAGCCCTCCAGTCCTTTCGCCCCCGGCAGGGCGGAAGCTCACGGGCCGCGCTGGTAGAAGGGGCCTGCGAAAGTGAGGGTCTACAGAGGAAGCCTAGGGCTGCTAGACACGGCGTGGACTCCGAGTGGGGCCGGATTTGGTGGGGGAGAAGGGGTGAGACCCGGAATGGGCCGAGTTGGGGTCTCAGACGGTGGTCTCCCCCTGCTTGCTGTTGGTGAGTCTCGTGTAGAACTTCCTCCAGGAGTTGAGCGTCTTGCCAGACCAGATCCAGAAGCCCGACGTGATGCCCACGATCAGCGTCATAAGGTACTTGATCATGAAGACCGTGAAGTCGGGGCTCATGGGTGGGTGCGGAGGGGCGCCCCCACCTCCCTGGAGGTGAGGGCAGGGGATGGCATAGCTCTTGCAGCTCTGGGCCACCCAGCTGCGCTCCCACTGGTCCCGGAAGGCCTGCTCGTAGAAGTAGCAGGCGATGACGATGGTGGCCGGCACCGTGTAGAGCACGCTGAACACGCCAATGCGCACCATGAGCTTCTCCAGCTTCTCGGTCTTCGTGCCGTCGTGCTTCATGATGGTGCGGATGCGGAAGAGCGACACGAAGCCGGCCAGCAGGAAGGACGTGCCGATGAACAGGTACACGAAGAGCGGCGCCAGCACGAAGCCCCGCAGTGCGTCCACGTTGTTGAGCCCCACAAAGCACACTCCGCTCAGCACGTCGCCGTCCACCTGGCCCAGCGCCAGGATGGTGATGGTCTTGATGGCGGGCACGGCCCAGGCGGCCAGGTGAAAATACTGCGAGTTGGCCTCGATGGCCTCGTGGCCCCACTTCATGCCAGCCGCCAGGAACCAGGTGAGGGACAGGATCACCCACCAGATGGAGCTGGCCATGCTGAAGAAGTACAGCATCATGAAGAGGATGGTGCAGCCCTCCTTCTTGGTGCCCTGCGCCACGGTGCGCGCCCCGTCCTCGGAGAACTTGTCATTGCACACCACTCGGTCCTCCAGCAGGAAGCCGGCGATGTAGGCCACGGCCACCGCCGTGTAGCAGCCGGACAGGAAGATGATGGGCCGCTCCGGGTAGCTGAAGCGCCGCATGTCCACCAGGTAGGTGAGCACCGTGAAGAGCGTGGACGCGCAGCACAGCACCGACCAGATGCCGATCCAGGTGCGCGAGAAGCGCAGCTCCTCCGGCCCGAAGTACATGAGCCCGTACACCTTAGTGGGCTCGCAGGGAGCGCCGCAGTCCTTCTCCCCCAGGAAGTGGTAGTTGAGGTAGGAAGGCACCTTGAGGGCGCGCGGGCAGGAGAACTTGCCGCGGTCTGCCGCGCCGGCGGCCCCCGCGAAGCCGCCGCGGTGCCCCCCGCCGCCGCCGTGCTGGGGGTTGCTGGTCCAGAACTCCGGCAGCAGCGAGGGCGTCGGGGTGCCTTTGTCGGACGTGTTCTGGCCCACGCACAGCTCCCCGGCGCCGTGCACAGGGAACTTCTCGCACTTGAGCGTGTCCGGCCACTGGAAGCCGAACTTGTTCATGAGCGCCTCGCAGCCCTGGCGCGCGCGCTCGCACAGGGAGCGGCAGGGCGGCAGCGCCTGCTCCAGCACGGTGCACACCGGCGCGTACATGGAGCACAGGAAGAATTTGAGCTCGGCCGAGCACTGCACCTTCACCAGCGGGTAGAACTGGTGCACCTCGAGGCCCGCGTCCTCCTGGTTCGTGTGGCCCAGCAGGTTGGGCATAATGGTCTGGTTGTACGCGATGTCCGTGCACAGCGGGATGGAGATGGGCTGGCAGTAGCCGTGGTCCGGGATGGAGATGCCCCGCTCGCCGTTGTACTGCTGTGCGC